GGAGACTTGTGAAGGTCCTAGTAATGGTGATGCGAACCCAGTGGCTAAGATGTCGTGCTTGGTAATTGGAAAGACACTCCATTCTTGGTTAGCTCGAGGAGGAGTTGTGGTGGTTTATTTTGTTGCCATTTCTGTTGTCCGGGTTATTTTTAGGGTTGTAATCCGGATATTGTCTTGTGACTCAAACCCTTCTATACTTTTATTTTGCCTAGTTCCTTTAGTCGTAGTAACTCATAGTGTTATCTAGGTTTGTTCCAGGGTTGTACCCCAGTTTATTTTGCTTGTCTTGTTGTTCAAACCCTTTCACCGTCTATCTAATGCAATTTCCTGTTTTTTGTTATTTCTGGTCATTTTTTTTGTTTATCTCTCTTCTTCTTTTATAGTTTTTTTTCTCATGCTGGCTCTAGTAACATGACATGCACACATAATTCTAGGCATGGTTTTAAAGTTAGTTTAATCATAAAGCAATGAAACAATTTTGAAGATGATAAGGACATTTGAGGGAAATAAGTATAGATTTGGACATTTTGAGATCATTTGAAGCCCGAACCATGTGAAATTGGGGCAAATAATTTGGGAAGTTAATAGGGTGACAATAATTCGTTAAAGAAGAGTGCATCCCGGACGATTTGAAGTAAGCAACTTTGAGTTCAAATGCATCTCAAGTTACAAAATAAAGTCAAGGAAGTTTTCTCCGAATTGACGGAGGATATCCATTGTAAAAAGGGAATCACCCAATGAGGGTTTTGTAATTGATAAGGCGCTAAAGAAGAGTGGAAGGCATATCAGTAATATCAATGCCGAAGCTGCTAGAGAAATATTGTCCATGATCTTCAATTTTCATTTCAAGTTGCATGTGTTGTACTTGGCATTTTTAGGGATTGGGAGGCCCTCTTTCAGCTACCCAAACACTTATACCATTTGACACCCTTTTGAGCCTGCACTAATTTCTTTGACCTCCCCTTTTTTGGAATCGATTTAGAGTCATACGAAAAAAGAGGGAAGAATTTATGTCCCCATGGGTTTATTTTACAAAGTATTCCAAAAGGCAAATTCAAAAAAAAGAGATAAAATAGAGATAAACAAGAAAAAAAGAAAAAAAAGAAGGAAAAAGGAAAAAAAGAAGGAAAAAGAAAAAAAAAGGAAAAGAAAGAAAAGGCAAATAGTAACAAAAAGTAGTTTTGCGAACTACGTTTGACCTGATTCTTGTCACCACAAGATACGTAGGCAGCCTTATGGTTCGGTCATACAAAATAAATATTTCATGATCCCACGAAGTCGAGAGTGGGCAGAAATTCCATCCCAAAAAGAAAAGAATCAAATTCCCTTGTTTTAGAAATTGAGGCAAAGTTTTTAGAATGGATTCCAAAAGTTGTAAATAAATAACCTCGTTGTCATAGTTACTTTGAGCCTTTATGATATCATTTCTTTCTAACCCTGTCCAAAAGCCATATTACAGTCCAAAAAACGATATCCCAGAAAATCTTTGAGAGTGCTGAGTTTAGGCATGCCAAGGGTATATGATGTTTTACTATGGGTAATGCCTTGTCATCTGCAAAATCGGAGGAAATAAGAAGAAAGGAACAAAATAAGAGAGTTTTATTGGTGAAAACCTTCACAGGTACCATAAGGCGACGGTGAGTCGAGAGAAATAACAAAATGAGAGAGGCTTGATAGTGAAAACCCTTCGGGCACTACAAGTCGAATAAGGATCGGGAATTAGATTGGATAATCGGAGCATTGAAGCCCAATTTCACGGTTTAGGGGGTATAACAAGAGTTAAACATCAGACTTGCTTGACAGATTATTCCACTTAATCCAAAGGTGCATGTCATGGTCATTAGAGTTGGTATACACATCTGATAAGTTTCTACTTTGTAGTTTTCTGGTTAGGAATCATCTCTTTCCATTGTCTTTTACTTTGTTCCTTCTATCTTGTTTACTCCCTTTTCCCGGGTCTGTTTGGTCAGAACAAGTGAAAAATGCCATCAAAATTTGCCACCAGCTTTCCAATTGCACAAAACGGGATCTGGCTAGCACATCAAAATGGCGTAAGTCAGGAAAGAACAACATGCGCACTGAGTTGATAACAATCAACGTGCTTTGGGGTTCATGTGAAATGCGAAGGTTAGGTATATATCAATTCATGAGCACAATGCAACAGATAGAGGGATTGGGTTTGAACAAATCAATGGTATTTTCTGTGATAAGATTGACAAAGGAAGTGGTTAACCAGGGACAATCAAGGTTTTCCAAGCGAAAATCAGTATATCATGGCAAGTGAAGGAGCAATAGACCTCAAGTCCAAGGCAAGTCATTTAAGTCAGGAAAAAACAATATGCGCACTGAGTGGGTGGCAATTGACGTACTTTGGGATTCATGCGAAACACAAAGGTTTGGTATATGTCAGTACGAGCACAATGCAACAGATGATCAGTATTGGGTTTGAACGGATCAGAGGTATTCTCCGTGATAAAGGTGATAGAGAAAAGTGGTCAGTCAATAAACAGGCAAGGTCTTTCAATTTGAAACCGAAGTTACCACCGGAAGTGAAGGAGCTTCTCCCTCAAAGTTCAAGGCCACAAACCAACCACCATGTTTAAATTCACAAGTTTTCTTTGATTGAAACAGGGGTAGGAAATTTTGTTTGTTCCGGAGAAAATCTCCATTAGGAAAGCAGGTACCAGACAGGCTCGGTAGTGAATTCCAGTACCTTCCTAGATAACAGGATTTGGTAAGTTTTGAGATCCTCGCAAATAACAAGGTCTGACGAGAGGGCTACTTTTGGGAAGTGTAATTTGGCATCTAAGCTTTTCACTTTTGAGATAAGGTTTGGTTTGAAATTTCAGGATAAAGGATTTTAGTTTAGAATTTGTTCTACTCACATAAGCTCCCAATATCAAACTGGGGCAGAAAAATTTCTTTTATTTGTTTGTTTTGTTGTATTCAGGTTCAAAGAAAAGCAGCAGTCTCAGAGGAGTCAGTTCGAGTTCAGAAATCAGGCACCCACCTAGAGAACAAAGGGAAAACAGTTGTTTCAGAGGAGTCAGTTCGAGTTGGAAATCAGGCACCCACCTAGAGAACAAAGGAAAACAGTTCAAGTTTCGAGGGAAAAACAGTGCAAATGTTGGTAATAAGGAGCCCACCTGGAGAACGAAGGGAAGCAGCAACATTCAAAGGAGTTCAGCAATCAGGAGCCCACCTGAAGAACAAAGGGAAAACAACAAGGTTCAAAGGAGTTCAGCAATCAGGAACCCACCTGAAGAACAAAGGGAAAACAACAAGGTTCAAAGGAGTTCAGCAATCAGGAACCCACCTGAAGAACAAAGGGAAGCAGTTCAAGTTTCGAGGAAAGGCAGTGCAAATGTTGGTAATCAGGAGCCCACCTAGAGAACGAAGGGAAGCAACAAGGTTCAAAGGAGTTCAGCAATTAGGAGCCCACCTGAAGAACAAAGGGAAGCAGTTCAAGTTTTGAGGAAAAACAGCGCAAGTGTTGGTAATCAGGAGCCCACCTGGAAAACGAAGGGAAGAAGCAATGTTCAAAGGAAGACAACAATCAGGAGCCTACCTGAAGAACGAAGGGAAGCAACAATGTTCAAAGGAAGAGAACAATTAGGAGCCCACCTGGAGAACGAAGGGAAGCAACGAGGTTCAAAGGAGTTCAACAATCAGTAGCCCACCTTATGAACAAAGGGAAGCAGTTCAAGTTTCGAGGAAAAGCAGCGCAGGTGTTGGTAATTAGGAGCCCACCCGGAGATTGAAGCGAAGCAACAATGTTCAAAGGAAGACAACAATCAGGAGCCCACCTGGAGAACAAAGGGAAAGTAGCAAGTTCGAAGGAAGACAGGTCAAGTATTGGCGATCAGGCGCCTACCTGGAGAATAAGAGAATTCACTTCAGAATACAATTCAAGTCAGCAACAAAAGAAGCTCGCGACAATAATGCGAGTTAAAAGTCCGAGGTGATCAACAAAAGTTAGTCACGATAAAGAAAAAAAAAGAAAGGCAAGAAGTTAATCCAAATGCAGAAGTTGATGAAAGATGTGGGCTGCTCAAGACATGGCCAAGGTCACAAGCACTACATGCCTGGTCTTGATCCGAAAAGCTGAAGAAGGATGAACTAGCACCTGCAACTAGCAAGCGTCAAGGTTCAAATCTAAAGTCTGCATGAAGAACCACTCAAGACTCAAGATCAAGCTTCAGAAGACTTATAGATAGGAATCTTATAATTCGTAGTTGATAGGCTTAGCTAGTCTTTTTCATGTTTTGACTTTTGACGTAACATCAGGACCGCGGACTGGAACCTCGATGGAACGGCACCTCGACCGGCTCTCCACCTCGGTATACTCCATCATCCCACTCACCTTTAAACTACACGTGGCCTGATTCCTTTATAGCCAAGGATATGTAGGCAGCTCAGATACCAGGGCTCGGTCACATTCCCCTTTTCTCTTAGTTTTGATCTCCCTAAATAAGGGTCGGTTCAAAAAGCCTGTCTAGTCGTTCTTTGTCTGAAAATACTTCGTATTTTCAGTCAAAGAGGGGCAGCTGTAGACATGTGATTTTTGACCCTCCCTAAGATTTTTCATATTTTAGCACGTAAATATTTAATTTAGGCCTAATATCACTATTTCAACTAATTTTGACTCTTTTACTTTATTTTATTATAAGAAAATAAAAATTACAAAAAAAAAATAGTTTCATTAATATTTTGTAGTCATTTTTAATCTTGAAAAATACCAAAAATAGTATTGTTTTGACGGTTAGTCTTATTTTAATAGTTATTTTATTTAAGTAGGACTAATTAATAAATGAGGTCATATTTTAATCTCGTCCGCAAGGAAAGGATAAAACTTGGGCTCGAGCAACCCATTTTTAGGCCTAATTTTGGACCTAGCCCATAATTCCCAAGCCCATAATTCCTAGGCCCATACCCCTAACCTAATTCCTACCCCTATATAATAATACCTACACCTAAAATATAGAGCAAGGCCTAAATACACGATCCGCTGTTTTGAGGACCTGAACCTTTCTTCTACACGATACAAGATTTAAAACCTTGAAAGAACAAAAAGAATAAAAGTTCACCAGCAGCCATACACAGAAACAGACCCAAAAAGAACGAAAAGAGCTTCACCCAAACTCTTTGGAAAAGCTTCTGCCTTTTGCCGTCTAATCTCTAACCTAGGACACCCCATGGAAAAATCCCAACGACTTTTTTCTCTGCTGAAAGCTAACGTATAAATTCACAAGGAGGCAAGAAACAGAGCTGAGGTTTTCTGGTATGTGTTGCTGTGTCGGGTTCGGTCGTGGCCTGTTATTGGTCTGCTCTTAGGTATATACACATCTAGCTGAAAAGTCCTTGTTATTGTTCTGCTTTTAGGTATGTACACATCCAGCTGAAAATTACTTTTCAAATATAATCTGAGAAATTGGGTATTGTGTTCCGTATTTGTAGTTGTTCACTTAGAATCGGCATGTTCTGTTTGATTTAATTGTTTGGATTGCTTGTTGTTTTGTGATATTGATTATGTATTTTAAAAAAAGGGGTCGAATGTTCACTGATATCTGCTCACACAATTATTTCATGATTGGAGCTTATACCATGTTTAAATAATAGTCTATTTTAAGAGTAGTATGCTTTCGAATTCAACTACTATTTGAGCATATCTATTTTTGAAAGAGTCCAGCTCTTTGTGCACTTGAATGAGGGTAATTATTATGATGTTTAACTCTACCATTTTTTGTTTGTTTGCTTGAACGCAGGATGTTGGAGTATAATGTATTATGTCATTTTATCAGAAATTAGCTTGTTAAAATATAAGTTTTAGGTTTGGAGAATAATCTATGTGATTCAGTTGGGTTCAATTGTAAATGAGTCATGAAACGATTTTGAGCTAAGGATTGGGTCCGGAAAGTTTAATCCTACCTGAGAAGAATCAAGAGCTAACATTTTTATGACCAATTTACTACATTCTTTCCACATAAACTTGTTATACATAATCTTGCCTCAATAATCTCAAAGTAGGAAATAATTTTGAACATCGTAGCTTGCTTTGGTCGCGATTAATAATAAATTATCGTGGCTATGGGTACGGTTTCCATGGCATGGTCACGATACGTAAATCCAAATTCGGGGGTGCATTTCATGTAACCCGAGTATAATAGCTTCGAATAATAAAACCCTTTGTTAGAATAATTTGAGGTGTGCCATGCCAAATAAAATTTCTAAGTCCATGGCCCTCACTTAATTAACTTTAATCCTTTAGAAATCGAGGTGTGCCATTTAGTTGAATTTTCCATGGCCCTCGCAAACTTGAAAGTGCATGGTTGCTTTAGACGTGCTATTTAAAATTAATTTCCTAAATTCGGGTGTGCATTTCATGTGACCCAACTCCAATCCTCAACAATATTAAGTAAAATGTGTCGTGGACCGCGGGTACATTTCATGTGGCGTGGTTCAAGATATGTTTTAAATAACATTGAATCTTCCTAAAAATAATTAAAAGCGATTTAATAAGTTAAAATTGTACCATAGGCTAAAACGTGTAATAAATCAGATAATAGGCCAATTTTAATAGTTTAAGCAACCGTGCTAGAACCACGGAACCCGGAAATTCCTAACACCTTCTCCCGGGTTAATAGAATTCCTTACTTAGAATTTCTGGTTCGCAGACTTCAAAAGGAAAGTCGAATTTTCTCGATTTGGGATTTAAAATAAATCGGTGACTTGGGACACCAATTAAAATATTCCAAGTGGCGACTCTAAAAATAAATAAATAATCTCATTTCGGATAATGTCACTTAAAATGGAAAAACTCCTTTATTTACCTTCCCGGGGGTGGTAAAAAGGAGGTGTGATACCATGAACGCTTTTAATGGCAAACGAAGCTGTAAAGAATGCATTTTTGTTTGAGCTTGTAATATAAGATTCAGATGTTTAATGTGTTAAAATTGTGGCTTCATATGTATGCTAGTTATAGTTTGCCTTTTGGTTTATGTAATATTCTGAATCTATACGTTTTCATGGTCATTTTAGTTCAGTCTCTTCCATGTATTGTTTGTGGACAACTATCATACTTTAGGAGGTCATTATTCAGATCTGCCTGGTTCTGAGAACATGATTATCTGATAGTTCATAGTGTTATTGGTCTTTGAACACTATTCTAGTTGTCTTGGTTCTTAAAGTTAAGGTTAGATGGAATTTTCTTTCTTGAATAGCATGTTTAACTCAGGGTTGTTATAATTAATCAATCTAGTTAACATCAAGGCTTTGAATATCATATAGATAATATATTCGATCCAGCATAGTAGTTTTCAGATTTTAGTATCATGTTGTTGTGATTTATGTGTTTAAATCAACTTGAATATCAGGAAGGCCTTCAGTTCAGTATTGAGCCTGTTAAGTTAGCATGTTTGACACTGAGGCCCAAAGCGACCAGATCTGGTTCTTTTTGGTCTTAGGCCCAATTCCAGGCCCAAGAGTCTTCAGCCTCAGTCTCTTTTCCTTTTTGCATCTTATGTTACTTCTTTAAGAAATGGCTCGAAATGTGGAAGTTTTTCTTTTTAAATTGGTGGGCCATATATTAGCCTAAAAAGGGGTTAGTTTGGTCAAAACCAGATTTGGCACGAGCCATGATGTTCTGTTTTCCTACTTTTGGGTTTAATTTTTAAGCCCAGGCAGCATTAGTGTTATGGCTATCTTGAGGAGTTGTGAGTTTTCTGATTAAATAGAGTAATGGGCCTACTGTTGGGCTCATCTTTACAGAATAAGTCAAGAGCAGCAATCCTTCTATGCTAAATCCAATTCATGGCCCTATTAGAAACTTCCAATTAGTTTTAAACTTGAGCGTTCCTAGTCCGCATTAATTAAGTACAATTCTTTTAAAAATAGATTGAGGTGTGCCATCCATAATTGAATAACCTATGGCCCTCACTTTAATATTAAAACTTAGATGTTAAATAACCTTAAACACTCGTTAGCTTGCTTTAGGTGCGACTTAGATTATTATAGTGATTATGTATATGTTCGCGTAACATAATTACGCTCGTTTTAAAAAAAACCGAGGGATGCATTCGCGCAACTTCAATCAAATTTTCTTAATAAATAAACAAAGCGTCATTAATTGTGGACACGTTCGCGTGACATAATTTTTGACGCGCCAAAGGAAATGAGTATACGTAGGTGTAACTCAATTCTTTAATTACGAATAAATCAAGTGATTAAAAGCGGTAAAAGATAAATGCACATAGGTTTTAAATAAGTAATTAGACAATTTAAACCAAGTATAAATTGCTAAGCGATCGTGCTAGAACCACAAAACCCGGGAATGCCTAACACCTTCTCCCAGGTTAATAGAATTCCTTATCTAGAATTTCTGGTTAGCAGACTTTAAAAAATAAAAACTTCCTCAATTTGGGATAAACCGGTGACTTGGGACACCAATTAAATTATTCCAAGTGGCGACTCTGATTAAATAAATAAAATAATCCCATTTCGGTTAATGTCACTTTAAATTGGAAAAAACTCCCAAACCCTCGGGTGTGTAAAAAGGAAGTGTGACAGCTCTGGCGACTCTGCTGGGGATGAGAACCCAGAACTTCTGGTTCAGGGTTCAAGAATTCAAGCTTGTTAATGTGATTTTTACTTGGCTTTATTTATTATTGATATTACTGTATTTTTTGTACCTAATATGCTAAATGCCGATGTTTATCGCTTTGATATTGTTTGAATCGTATATAAATTATTACAAAACCCTCTACTCCCTGAGTCTTCTAAAAAACGGTGCACACGTTCGTGTGACCCACTTTTTCTGTTAGAAGTTATACCAAATAGAACGGGGTTGGGCAAGAAACAAGGCCGGGCAGACTTTCGTGCTCCCGGTACGTTGCCCCCTCCTCGACTTGAGTTCGTTCGCTCGGGTAAGCCAGGTCTAGAACACAACCCCAGGTTTCAAACCTAGAATAACGCAACCTCATGTCGGATCCCTAGTAGTAAGGTTTGTTTGCATCACGTGCATTTGACCTTGGGGACTCAACACAGGGGTTGGGTATGTCTAGGACAGGTGTACCCAAAATAACAGACCATCCTGATGCATCCTACGTGCTATATGAATATTTATTTATTTCGGCTTGCATGTTGACCGGCTAGGAAAAGAAAATCAAGAGAAAAAACAAAGAGTGAGGTAGGATAGAGAATTTACTCGGTTCTAAAAATCCCGGTATTTGAAAATGTCTCGAAACTCTGCCAAAATTTTTGAAAAAAAGGGGGAAAAAGGAAAATGCATTCCAAAAAAAGGAAAGTCAAATATCATGTTTTTTTATGTCAAAATTGACCGAACTACGCAGGTCTGATTCTCACCGGATGTGGGATACGTAGGCAACCCACATAAGGTTCGGCCTCACTTTTTGCAACAAGAAAATCAAATAAAGTGTAGTTTAGGGCTTTGGTCAAAAGAATAAGCCGACCCAGCTTCGGTTATATTTTAAGTTGTTCTTGCAGGGATAGACTTAGATTATCTTTTAATTGTCGAAAGGCTATTTTTGTGAAGAACGGGCAAGTATGTCAGTAAGGTGTCTTTTTCCATAAAATACTTTCCCCCGGCCTCAAAATTTGTTTGGAATTGTGAAGGGGCCACATTTACAAAAATGACCATTTATTGCTAAAATAGCATAGAGGGGTCATTGTCCGTTGATTTTTCTTTAAAGAATCAAAAACTTGTTTTGCAAAAGAGTCCACCAGAGTCAACCCTAACCTTGACCCCCCCGCAGGTACAAATGAATACTATCCAGAACCCGTCACAATTGGTCATAGAGCAGGCTCAGCTGCAGCTCCGCATGTGGTGGAATAATTTAGATAAAGATGGTCAGGATTGGGTGAAAAGGTAGTTGGGTGCCCTTATATGCATCATGAACATCGAACCTTGGGAGGATCTAATCAAAGCTTTGGTAACCTTTTGGGATCCTGTCCACAACGTGTTCCGCTTCTCAGATTTCGAGCACACCCCTACTCTGGAGGAAATGGACGGATACATTGACTTTGGCCAAGACTTGAGGAAACAACAACTTATATTCCCAAGGGCTCCCTCAGTGCACAAGTTCTTTGATCTTCTGAATATAAGTAAGCAAATGAAGAAGGCCCAAGTAAACAAAGGATGTTGTTCCTTCTACTTCTTTTACTTTAGGTTCGAGCACTCAGCTGGGTTTGAAACGCATGAAAAGGGATTAAACAACAAACAAGATAAAAGCACCTGGCAGATTCATCGTCAGTTCGCTTTCATCGTGGCATTTTGGGAATCATGGTCTTTCCAAATGCAGAAGGGACAATAGATACTTGCATGGCCAGAATTGCGTAAATCCTCACTACCAAGAAAGATCACACAC